CCGCCTGTACATCATACAGGTTCTACACTAGATGCCATACCTGTAACCCAACTATGGGTATTACCCGTTTAACCCCTTTGTAATGTAACTAAACCTGTATCACCAAGACATCTTCGGTACATTTGTCAGTCAAGAAGTCTTGGATACTTTATCTATTTTCTTAGGACTAATTTATCCTCGAGAGATCGACACTAGAGCAGTCTGAACCCACAATCCAGATTTATCTAGATTCAGTAACTTACGCCGAGTCCGAAGACAAGTACTTGCAAGCCAAAGCTGCTACAGTTACCTACTACCCCCTTGTAGAGTTTACCCAAACCCCAGTGCCTATTTTATAGACTGTCAACTATATCCCTAACTATCCCAAACTACCAATCCAAATGGCCTGGAAGGGATTTTTCCTCTGGTATCTGCAACTAAGCAGATCCTTTTCCTCCGATTCTGACGGATTTGGTCCTGGCGGCCTGGTTGGTAGGGTGCCTTGCTATACACCGGTCCTCATTCAGTTTTTGCTAGTTCTCCGATGGCAATCTTTTACGTAGCACTGTCAAAGATTTGTGCTATCTTTCTACTCGGGTCTTGCCAAGCAGGCATCCATTTTTCCGGTTCCTTAGATTAACACGATCCAGAACATTTTGTGTAACTTATACATTATGCGAATGCCCTATGATCTTCCAATCTTGTTGGTACCACCAAGGTTACAGAGATCCCATTTCAACCGATCGTCAAAAGACAGTAGCCGTCGTACAAGTAAAATATTCGAAATTCATCACTAGTGGGTTTCAAACCCTTTACCTGGCCGACATATCACTTGGAGGTGTAACAACTTAACCACTTCACTAAGTCGCCACACCCTATATATATATATATATATATATATATATATATATAATATTTAATATTAATTTTGATTGGTTCTAGATAAGAATTTCAATTTGAATTCGAATTTAGAATTTTATTAAAAAACTTTTTTTAATTTACTTGATTTAGCAATCTCATTCACTAAATGATGAGCCAATAAAAAATTATTTTTAAGATTTTTTGATTTACTTGATTTAGTAATTTCATTCATTAAAATGATGAACCAATAAAAATATTAAATTTTAACAATTTAAAAAAAATAAAAGCAAAAGACAGTTTAAATAAAAATATAAACAATGAGAAAGTTAAATGTTTTTTCAGCATGTTTGTCTTGTCGACAAAAAAAAATAAAATGTAATGAGAAAAGACCTTGTGAACAATGTTTGAAAAATAAAATTGTTTGTAAAACAATTCAAAATAATCGAAAACATAGACGAAAGAGAAGAGATGATTCTGATAAACAAAAACTATAAATAGAATTCAAATTACTCGTAGTGGTATTAAGATTGGTGATCAACATTATGAGATATATATTTGTATTTATTATATTTTTATCATTGAGAGTATTGGTGCAAGATGATGATGTTATTGTTGGGGTTGAACTCCCAAAATTATATACGTGGGATTTTAAAACAGGACAATATAAGATGATCCTTAATAAAAATGGTAAAATTACAAATAATTATAAAGGTGGGATTTATGTACGTTATGGAAATACATATGAGAGTGTGCATAAACCAAAAGAAGCATCTGTGAAAATACCAAAAAGAAGAAGAGCAAAAAATCGTTTAAAAAAAATAGGCAATAATTAATTTAAATTCAATATAAATAAATCAGTAGTTTATTTTTTTTTGTTTTAAAAAAAAATGGAAGTTAAAAAAATTTATTTATTTTGTTTTATTGTTTTATTAATTATTAATAATATATTCACAAAAGATGTTGTGGGTGTATTGTTAACAACACCAAAAAATCAAAAAAGTTGTTCAGTATGTAAAAAAGACAATGTTAGAATATTAGATTTTAACAAACGTATACATATTGAAATTGGTCGACATAAAAGAAAATGAGAAGATAAACAAAACAGAAAACTAACCAAAAAACAAGGAAAAAGAAAAGAAGTTAAATGTAGTATATGTGGTAAACGTGGTTTTAATAAACATTCTCATCCTAATCATTAAAAAAAAATAAATGTAGTTTTACTTTATTTTATTTTATTTTATTATTATTATTTTTTAAAAAAACAATGTATAAATTCATGATTATTTTTTTTACAAATAAAACAATATTTCATTTTTTTACATGATCCAACATGTCTTTTATCACACCAAGAACATTTGTTATATAAACAATCTTTAAAAAAATGTTCAGTTGAGTAACAAGCGAGACAATATTTTGCTTTAAATTTACAATCTTTATAAAAATGTTCGGTTGAATAACAAGCATCACAGTAAGTTTCAATATTTTTAAATGGATCAAAATAGTAATCAGGAATTATTTTTTTAGGTGGTGGTCCCCAATTATTACTGTAAATTATTATAATTTTTAGAAAAAAAAACGGTAGATAAAAAAAAAAAGAAAAGAAAAATTACCTCATATTAAAAGATAACGATTGTTTTAAAAGAACAAAAAAAAAATATAGTTATTTATTTAGGAAATATTACTATGTAGCCTGTCTGACTCAGTGTTATAGACAGGCTACATAGTAATATTTCCTAAAAAGGAAACACCTCAAATTCTCTTCTACGAATGTGAAATTTGACCGGCCAAATTGATGGGTAATTAGGCGAATCTGAAACTTTGATTGGCTAATGATCATGTGTTTCAAAAATCTTACTGTATAAAAGTCAAAAATTAAATAGTGATTTTTGGAAAAAGTGCTGGAATGTGATTTTTGACCGGACAAATTGCCAGAATGTGAATTTTGACCAGACAAATTGCCGGAATGTGAATTTTGACCAGACAAATTGCCGGGACCAATTTTATTAATAACTCTTATAGTAATTGTTCATGTGGTTTTCGGAAAACTCACTAGGAAAACTCACTTTTTCATGTGACCTTGATTTTCGGAAAACTCACTAGGAAAACTCACTTTTCATGTGACCTTGGTTTTCGGAAAACTCACTAGGAAAACTCACTTTTTCATGTAACCTTGGTTTTCGGAAAACTCATTAGAAAAACTCACTCTCATATGACTTTTGTTTTTGAAAAACTCGAAATTTTTATTTATTTAAAATTTTTACTATTTTTATTAATATTTTCATATTTAACATTTCATTTCAAAATATAAAATTTATTATTTAATTTATTTGTTATAAAATACATAGAAAATGTTTTTATTGTAGAAATTAATGTAAAAATTATGACTGCTATTATATCCTGCAGTAGGAGAAATTTGAGCTTTTCGCAAGCAACTCCGAACCTGAAACCTTTTGAAACCAGATGAAACATCTGATCAAAATCTTGTTGTTTTTTATGGATTGTCGAAACTATCTCAAACGAACGAGAAAAAACAACCAAAAACCTTAAAACACATAACGAAACGGAGGTGGTAATAAAATATGTCGGTGATATTTTTAATTTTAAATTTTCTTTTTCTTTTTAAAATGTCCGAATAGAATCAAGTTAATAACCACATATGTCTATATGAAGGCTACGTGACTTATGTCTCAATATTCTCTTCAAACGAAAGAATGACAGGAAAATCAATTTCAAGAGAATACTTCATAAACTGCAACCGCACATCAAGGATTGGTGAGGTTCTTAACGATTGGTAGATTTCTGTCATATTTCTAGATGAAGGACGAAGGATTCTCACCTTCTGACACGATATCTTTCTTTACGAGAGACGTAAATGCGGTTTGAAACCATTCTTCATATGACGACCACAAAAGGAAAAATAAAACATTAGTAATTAGTAAAAAAAACAAAAAAACTTTAATTTCAAGGAGAAATTTATGCATTTCTATGAAAGAACCACTCGAACTTTGTGATTTTTATTTTACGAACTAAACTTTCATAGAAAGAGGCCCTACTCTCAAGAAACA